CCACAGACTACTATGCAGCCATAAAAAAGGATGAGTTCATGTTCTTTGCAGGGACATGGATAAAGCTGGAAACCATCATTCTCAGCAAACTGACACAAGAACAGAAAACCAAACACTGCATGTTCTCACTCATAAGTGGGTGTTGAACAATGAGAACACATGGACACAGGGAGGGGAACATCACACACCGGACCCGTTGGGGGGTAAAGGGCTAGGAAAAGGATAGCAGGGGGTGAGGGGTTAGGGGAGGGATAGCATTAGGAGAAATACCTAATGTAGATGACAGGGTGCTGGATGCAGCAAACCACCACCATGGCACGTATATACCTAGGTAACAAACCTGCATTTTCTGCACATGTACCTCAGAACTTAAAGTATAATTTTAAAAAATGAGATTAAGAAATACACTTTAATACAAGAAAAAATAAACAGATAAAAATAAAAGCCCTGTCTCCAATCACAGTCACATTCTCAGGTACTGGGGATTCGGACTCAAACCTGTGAATTTTGGCGGACACAGCTAATGACAGACCCATTTGCATTTAATTTCCTTTCATCACAGCCACCCCTCTTAGTCTCTTTGATTAAGTTTTCTTGCCTTACAATGTAGATAATTATAGTTTCTACTTCATAGAGTTATAATAAGAATTTAAAATGCTCATCTACAGAAAGAATTTGGAAGAGTATCTGGTACATAGTAAGTGTTCAATAAATGTTGGACTCTATTATTTCCAGGGCAGCTGCTTTGAATGAAGATACTTATCTGGGTAAATTAGGTCTGGTGTGTTTCTGAAAACATATTTGCTAATTTGTGTGGGCAAATTATGTGTTTCTAGGGTAAGGCATAATTTCATCTGAGAGGATAGTTCTTATTTTTTATGAATAATATGCAAGTTTTTAAAAAAGTGGGGATTGGTTTTAATTATTAAAGTACATGGAACTCTTGTTTATCAACATTGAGCTGGTTTTATTTGCTGGTTTTCCATTTGCATTCCAGCTCCTGGAATTAAGGTTTGAGGATCACAGTATGATGGCAGCAGCAATGTGTGTGTGTTTGGATGTTAATGTGCCATCTTTGTACATTGAACTGGTTTTATTTGCTGGTTTTCCATTTGCATTCCTGCTCCTGGAATTAGAGTTTGGGGATCACAGTATGACGGCAGCAGCAATGTGTGTGTGTTTGGGGGTTAATGCGCCATCTTTGTACTCCAGCCCGGATACCCTACTTCAATAAAAGCAGATTCCCTGTTATCTTCATTATATTTTATAGTGCTGTGTAAACTTTGGTTTGAGAGAATTCTTCTACTAAAAATAGCCTGAAACCCACTAGCATAGTGTATAGATTACTCATATCATCTGCTCTCCCTACAATTGCTTTTATTCTGTGTATACTCCAGGGATACAACTAATGTTAATAAGAGCCTGAGGAAAACTTAATTGGGAAGGTAAATTTGTTGCAAAAAGGAATATAGCATAAATTAAACATAAATAATATAAAACAATGCATTTAATTATCTGCATCACTGCCTCCTTCCTCTAACATGGATATCTGAGAGGAGACTAATTTTCTTTCTGGGACAGGGTCAGATCTGAGCCTAGACCAGGGAACTGTGTCAAGGCCTGGAAAGACGGTGCTTGACCTACTTTTTATGTGATATGTTGGGCATTAGCTAAAGGCACTGCTGTTTTGATCAGCTAAAATTTCAGTAACAGTAAGAGGATCCACAAACTATCTGAACTGCTAATGCATGAACTAGTCTGTGTGTGGTTGAGAATGGCTACTTATAATATACTATTAAATGCTGATAATGGTTCAATGATGTGGTGAACCATTTATTAAACATTTATTTGTTGAATAGAATCCCATGAGCCCAGCAAGGAAAAGGCATTTCTGCCCAAGGAAGGTTTTCAGTTTGGGCAACAGGCATTAGCCACCCAAAGCTGGTGCTGCTGCTAGAATCAGAGGCAGAACCAGACCGGGTCCATGTCCGATGCCCTCTGTTCTTTTCTCCCCACCATCTCAAGTGGTTTCATCTGCCCCAGTCTGCATGTCTGTGTGACACTCTGCCTTACCTTCTCTCAAAAGATCCAATCCCCAGCCAGCCAGAGTCTAGAATTCTCCAGGCAGGATTCCAAATGTTGTTTTCCACTGTTCCCACTGAGTACGCTAATTTTTGTCAGATGGCAACTCCTGAATTCCGAACAGTCTGGTGTCACATGCCTCGCCTTCTGTCAACCCTCACTTCCTCCATTTGGGTTGATCTCAGCTGGGCTGGAAAACCCTTCTCTGTTGAAAGTAGGTCTAAAGTGGTAATGACTGACTAGCATGGACCTGCACCAGTTCCCAGGTATTTACAATTGAAACAAATTTGCTTATACTCAGAAATAACAAATTTGCTTATACTCAGAAATAACAAATTGGTGGATGTGGTAACATCAAAAGATAGTTCTTGGTCAGGCGCAGTGGCTCATGCCTGTAATCCCAGCACTTTGGGAGACTGAGGCAGGTGGATCACGAGGTCAGGAGATTGAGACCATCCTGGCCAACATGCTGAAACCCTGTCTCTACTAAAATACAAAAATTTAGCCGAGCATGGCAGTGCGTGCCTATAGTCGCAGCTACTCAGGAGGCTGAGGCAGGAGAATCACTTGAACCCGTGAAGCAGAGATTGCAGTAAGCCGAGATCATGGCACTGCTCTCCAGGCTAGCGACAGAGCGAGACTCTGTCTCAAAAAAAAAAAAAAAACAAAAAAGTTCTCAAGTTGAAGAACAAACAAAAATCAGCAAATTAGCAGCTTAGCTCTGAAACTTGGCAACCCTGGTATAAGATTTCCTGACCTTCTGCAGCCCTTCCCTTCCCCTTCCCACGCATACCCCAGAAACCTTGACCTTTGCTTTTGCGGGTCCTCGTTTAATCAAGTATTCTTCTAGCACCTGTAACATTCTCTGGCATTTCTAGCAGCAGTAAGTGGTTGAGGGCAGGAACCATGTCTTCATGATCCAAGTTCCTAGCTTACTTGGTGCCCAGTAGACAGATATGTGAAGAATGAATGAGTTCATGAATGCATGGAAGAGTGGAAAACTCTAGAATGGATGTTCTCACTGCTCTGAGCATCCATGTCATCCAGCCCTGCTGCTCCCTTCCCTTTCTGACCTGTATTGCCCTGCGAGGCCCGTGCACCTCATGCCTGGCCTGCACTGCTGAAGGGGCCTGCCTGGTTTTGTCACATTCAGACTTTCTTCCTCCAAATCATCTCATCGTGCCACCTGACTGTTTTTCTAAAAAATGAAAACATTTCTTTCATATTGTTCTTTTGCTAAAAAACGGAATGATTTCTCATTGCTTGAGGGATAGATATCAAAACTCCTTAGCTTGGCATTTAATACTGACTAGCACTTGCCCTTGATATTTCTTTAAAATTAATTTAATTGTAAATATTTCAAACATATTTAAAAACGCAACAGTTACTCATTTACCCACCACTACAATTTAAACAAATAGCAGAATTTGCTCCATTTTACTTTGATTTTATTTCCCTAGTAAATAAATTTATTATTATTATTACTTTTTTGGAGATGGAGTTGCCCAGGCTGGAGTGCAGTGGCATGATCTCAGCTCACTCCAATTAAGTCTCCTGGGTTCAAGCAATTCTCCTGCCTCAGCCTCCAGCGTAGCTGGGAGTATAGGTGCATGCCACCATGCCTGGCTAATTTTTTTTTTTATTATTTTTGTAGAGGTGAGGGTTTCACCATGTTGGCCAGGCTGGTCTTGAACTCCTGACCTCAGGTGATCCTCCAGCCTCTGCCTCCCAAAGTGCTGGGATTATAGGCATGAGCCACCATGCCTGGACCCTAACTAAATAAATAGGCAAACATTTTAGATACAGATAGGCCCTACGCCATCCTTCCCTCTCCTTTCCTACCGGAAATAGTCATTTCCCTGTTTAATTTTGTTTTTCACAACTCACTGCGAGAACCACTTGCTCCAGTTAGATTTATCTTCTCACTAGAATTTCATCCTCCTTTCTTTTTTTCTTGGAAGCCCAGTTCACTTTTCACCTCTTTTGGTAAGCGTTCCCACCAATCTCCTAGTTCTAAATTGCTCCACAAGTTATTGTCTCCATTGCTCAAGGCAGACAATATTCTGCCTGGTGACAGCTTTTATGTAGCACTCTTCTCCTAGAATTGGTTTTCTATTCCCCTTATAGTAATTTTTTCCTCTGGCTTTATATTATAGTGAATTGCATGCGTTTCTTCTCCACGAGGTAACAACCTTCAGAATAAGATCTGAGTCTTAATTGTATTGATTCATTCCTTCTACAGCTATTGACTGAGGGCTTACTAACAAGCTCCAGGAATTTTCTTAGCACTGGGGATGCGGGAGTGAACACAAAAGACAGTCACTGCCTTCGTCGAACTTAAGTTCTAGTGGGGGAGAGAGACAGAAATTACATGAGTAAATAAATGTGTCAAGGTGAAAAGTGCTAAGGAGAAAAGGGAAGCAGGAGGAGCTTAAGGGTGCTACTTCAGACACACTTTAAGTATGTGTCTCTCCTTTATGCTCTACGTCAGTGCCGGATGCAGGGGGCACTGGGTATACTGAATTGCATGATATACCCAAATAGATACTATTTGATTCCCTGCAGGTGAGACACTACTCAGTGTAGACCTTCTGTCTGGGAAAATGGTTATAGAAATGCAGATTTTAATCCTTTGCTGCCAGAAGCACAACTTGGCTGTTCTTGCCATTATCGGTAGATGTGTACTCTGGTTATGAGATTATAACACTAGTTTTAATAAATCATAAGGGAGGAAAGGTCTGCTTTCTGGCATCATATTTATTCCATAGCCAAATGGAACCAACGTGGCATCATCTTTCCTCCTGTGCTTCTTCAGCCATCAGACCAGTGCAAGGGTCCCTCTCTGCAGTGTTCCTAACTGTAGTGGTATTGAACTATGGTTACCAAGAAGACCAATCTTCTCTTTTTAATTCTTCCAGCCTCCAGGAAAGAATAAAATCCCTCAACTTGTCACTTCAGGAAATCACTACCAAGGTAAGTACCTTTATACTCCCATTTTCCAAAGAAGCCTATGAAGTTTTCCTTTGACTTGATTTTACCACTAGATTATAGGATACCTAGCATCTGGGAAAAAACCGTAGATTTTGCAGGCCCGATGATGAGTAAAAAGAGCCAGGAGAGAGTGCCGCTGTCATAGTGGAGGTCTCAACTTGTGGACACCCCAGAAATGGACTGGGTTGGCCTTTGCTGCAAAAGGAGCTGTCAATTTAGGGACTGGAAAAGGACTGTCACTATGCATATTGAGTCATTGCTTAAAAATGCATTCGGGGCTGGGCGAGGTGGCTCATGCCTGTAGTCCCAGCACTTTGGGAGGCCGAAGGGGCTGGATCAACTGAGGTCAGGATTTGAGAACAGCCTGACCAACATGACAAAACCCTGTCTCTCCTAAAAATACAAAAATTAACTGGGTGTGGTGGCAGGTGCCTGTAATCCCAGCTACTGGGGAGGTTGAGGTGGCAGAATCTCTTTAACCTGGGTGGTGGTGGTTGCAGTGAGCCAAGATTGCACCATTGCTTTCCAGTGTGGGAAAAAAAATGCTTTCAAGATGGTAGTAATTTGAGAAATTAATTACTTTTCTTCCCAGGAAGGCAATGTCTAGTTTCCTCACAAATGAAATAGTCAGTGGCTGTTTTTTTTTTTTGTTGTTGTTGTTGTTGTTGTTCTTTAAAGCTTTTCAGTTGGCTTGACAATCATTTTGCCTGCTTTATCCATCATTTATATTGCTATAGCAAGACCTTGGTTTGTGTACAGACAGAATACTTCTTCATTATTTCCTGAGAGCACAGGTAATTAAATTAAATAGTCAATGTCCTCATTAGTTAGGATAACCACAGTTTACAAAACAAAAGCCATCCTGGCTGAGTTATCGGCAGACTGAGAAACAGGATCAATTTCTCTGTGAATTATGACTAAATGTTGTAGCAGAGAAGTGGGTATGAATCATTCATTATTTGCAGTAGGGATTGTTGTACGATGGTCAAAATGTAAAAAGGACACCTTGCTGAGCAGAGAGCAACACAGCTGAGAGCCTGCTGGCCTGGAAGGACTCGCTTCCAGTCTCTGTGCCCAGGGAAAGAAAGTCTTGGACCCTAGATCAGGAAACATGCCAAGAGATCACTGCAGCTAAGCTGAAGTCAGGGATGTGTTGTTGGCAAAAATGTCTAGAGTTACTCTGTGCATTTTCTCCATTTCTTTATTGAATTTATTTCTGAAAACAACACCCAATGATTTTGCTAAAAGTCACAGAGCCACAGGTTTGATGAATAATTATAACTTGCATACAATGAGAGCTTCCTGTTATGACCAAATGGTACCCATAAGACACCATTGGAGCCAGGGACCCAGAAATTCTTGAATTCTGCTCTGCTCACCCAAAGGCTTTGTCACCCAGGATTTGTTGATAATTTCCAACTAGTGTTAAAGATCTTAGATTTTCCCAAATATCAAAAATGGTTTGCTTTGTTTGCATACAGTCTTACTCTATTTAAGTTGCTATAACCAAGTACCATAGATGGGGTAGCTTATAAACAACAGAAATTTAATTCTCATCACTTTGAAGTCCGGAAGTCTGAGATTAGAGTACCAGCATGGCTGAGTTCTGGTGAGAGACCCTCTTCCAGGCTGTAGACCATTGACTTCTTGTTGTATTTCTGGATGGGAGAAGAGGGCAAAGTGGGGTTTCTGGGGCTTCTTTTTATTTTTGAGATGGAGTTTCACTCTGTCACCAGGCTGGAGTGCAGTGGCGCTATATTGGCTCACTGCAATCTCTGCCTCCCAAGTTCAAGTGATTCTCTTGCCTCAGCCTCCAGAGTAGCTGAGACTACAGGCACGCACCACCACGCCCAGCTAATTTTTATATTTTTAGTAAAGTCGGGGTTTCACCATGTTGGCCAGGATGGTCTCCATCTCATGACCTTGTGATCCACCTGCTTCAGCTTCCCAAAGTGCTGGGATTATAGGCGTGAGTCACTGCACCTGGCCTCTGGGGCTTCTTTATAAGGGTACTAATCCCCTTCACAGGGGCTCTATTTTCATGACCTGATCACCTCCCAAATCCCCCACCTCCTAATCCCATCACCTTGGGAGTTAGAATTTCAACGTATGATTCTGGGGGGATAAAAACATTCCTGACCATTGCACATACCTTCTCTACTACATTTATAAAACTTTATAATTACGTTACTTTTCCATAAAATTAAGGAACTCATGTCTTTGATTTTAAGTATAAAAGCCCCATTTGGTATTGAGTTCCTTGGGATCTAATTTTATTTATAAATAAAAAGGATACACAGATTTTTCTGGGGATGTGTATGTGTGTGTGGATAGGTGGACAGGTATGTGTGCACAATCATGAGTGTGTGTGTGTGTGTGTGTGTGTGTTGTGGGTAGGGGGCTATGTTAGTCCACAGAGAATTAAAACAAAACTTTCCAGTCACACAAAACACCTTTCCCTTTACTTTAAACTAGATTGACCAGTGATCATGGGGTAAAGGTCTCAGCTTGACATAGCTTTCTTTCTCTAGTGTGTTACACACACACGCAGAGACACACACACACACACACACACACAGAGAGACACACACACACACACATACACACACACACACACCCTGATATTCTTTATATTCCTGTCCCAAAAAGAAATGAAACCTTCCTTGCACTCATTATATTTCTTCAACTCTTATGGGTTACCCAAACCAAAGGTAATTAAGGGATAAATGAGATAGAAGAAACAGTTGGAAATAAATGGAATGTCTGGAGATTGGTAGGTATTAGATTACATCCAGCAGAGCCTGAAAGAATGAACATTGCAATTTAATAAGAAGATTCAGAAAGGTTGTTTCATATTAATAATGACAGCTTGAAGGATAGATTTGCTCAACAAAGGAGAAACTGACCCAATTGTGTTGAACAGGTACTGTTCACTAAAATCAGAAATATTGGACATAGATTGACTGAGACATAAGTATTATGGCTGGTGTTACAGAGTTTATGGAAATACCCTCAGACCTCAGATGACATTATTAAATGGGTAGGATGGGATGTGCCAGTCTTCTGGGTTTGAGCCAACCCAAGACTTGGTGCTGGGGGAAGGGATCTCTTCCTTTTAACTCTGGTTCTGACATCCTGAAAAGCCTCAAGACTGCTGAAAGGGTCCCGGAATTAATTACTTTGGACATGTGGCTGCCCAACACCACCAGGGCAGGCTTTGGTTTAGAGGCTACCAACCTGTCGTCTTCATCCAGAGAATGATTTTTAAAGATGTTGGAAAGTTACAGCTACTGAACAGAACATATGGAAGTCCATGAGAGAAATAGTGGAGTATTTTAGGCAGGATGGGTGAGGTCTGCTTTGACTCTAAAAATAATCTCAATTCAGCAGACTGATATAAGAAAACATTTAAGGTTGGTGGTGTCCAACAAACCCTAGATTCTTATGGGAAATTCAATTTTTCTAGGTAGCTCATTAATCTGAGTCTAGATAACGTTGACATATGAGGTTTTAGCCTTCAAAACGAGAAAAACAAATGTGATGTTTTAGCCTCCAACAAAATAAAAGATAACCTAAAGACATTTGGGAAAAGAAATTAAGGGTTTTTTTTTGTTTTTTTGATATTTTTGAAGAACCGAAGGAAAAAAAATGTAGGACGTATTTGGAGTGTCACGGGAAAATACATGATAAAACTCTCAAACCTCACTAAGAGTAACTTGTCTATTTGTCAAATCTGACTTGCCAGCAAGTATCTATCTGCCTTCCAAGTTTCTCTAAACAGTGTCTACTAATACTAGTAGTTACACCGAGCTTGCAGCTCTGACATTCATCTCAATGGCCATATCTTTATTCACTGCACACCGTGTGCCAGGCACGGAGCAAAGTCCCTGCTCACATAGAGCTCGCATCCCAGCAGAGAGACAATATGGAAACAAAGGACTAGAAGCACATGGTGTGTCATGTGGGAGGAAGCTGTGGAAAAACATCAAGGGAAGGGAGGACCAAGGGAGGCTGCTATTTTGGGTGGGTCATCAGTAAGGCCTTTCCTCCCAGGCAACGACTGAGCAGAGAGCCCCAAAAGGCGCGAGTGAGCGAAACCACCTGGGACTACTGAAGTGACGCGGACAGGAGGATTCAGCAAAGGCCTGCAGGAGGCCGGAGGCAGATGGGATGCAGTTATTTTAGCCTGTGGTTGCTCTCTGTTGGGTCAGCTCATATCAGCTTTGTAATTGGGTATGGGGCAATGGGCATATGGTTGGAATGCACCATTGCTCACTTTATTTTCGTTCTTTTTCCTCCATTCTCTCCTCCCTTCTTCCCTCCTTTCCCTCCCTCCCTCCCTTCCTTTCTTCCCTTTTCTCTCTCTTTCTTCCTTCTCCCTTCTTCCCACCCTCCTTTCTTTTTTCCCTCCCTCTCTCCCTCTCCCTTCCTTCCTTCCTTCCCCCTTCCTTCCTTCTTTCCTTTCTTTCTCTCTCTTCCTTCCTTCTCCCTTCTTCTCTCCCTTCTTCCCTCCCTCCCTTCTTTCCTTTTCCCATCCTCCCTCCCTTTCTTTCTTTTTTCCCTCTCTTCCTCCTTCCTTCCTTCCTTCCTTCCTCCCTCCCTCCCTCCCTTCCTCCCTTCCTCCCTCCCTCCCTTCCTTCCTTCCTCCCTCCCTCCCTCCTTTCCTTCCTCCCTCCCTTTTTCCCTTCTTCCCTTCCTCCCTTCCTCCTTCCCTCTCTTCTTTGTTTTTCTTTTTCCATTGCTTGCTTTTTGAGCATTACCCTCCAATCACTCTTCATCACCTCCCTTAAGTACTTATAGACCCAGAAATCTCTGACCTGGCTGTTCTACTGCCTTCTGATTTTTAGCTGAATAAATAATGATTCCTGGCCATTTCTCTCCCTCTAGGTGTGTATGAGTGAGAAATTCTGCAGCACCCTGAGAAAGAAAGTTAACGATATTGAAACCCAGCTACCAGCCTTGCTTGAAGCCAAAATGCATGCCATATCAGGTAACCGGCAGTGTAGGAGACATTGAGGCTGTCCAACTAAAATAATGACGGCCAGCCAGCATGTCGCCTTTTGTCCTTGATGAACATTCCACTGTTATCATGTTATTCTCAGACATCTGAAAGATTTGCTGGGGAGCTTCACTAATGCACACATAATACAGCACAAGTTGTTGATGTGAGTACCATGTTTGAGACTTCTAGTTCCTGTTTCTTGAAGAGTTTAGAAACTAAATGTACTCTGTGTGCCATATGGTTCTAGCAGTTGTGTGTATAGCATTGTGTATCTGTAAATGCTGAATGAGGATTATTAGGTGTGATCAGACCCTTCCTATAGTGGGAAAGATGGTAGCATGAGAAAAATTGATGTTCTCAGTTGAAAAATTTAGTCACAGAAACTTGGAGAATCCTCAAAGGATTATGTTCCCTCTTGCTCTGGCAGTTATTAAGGAATCGATTTCTCCATTAATTAGTAGCTTGAAAACAAGAGTCTCTGAAAACAGTATCTTACCCTATCATTTGATAGTGCTTTCAAACACTCTTCTGTATTTGTTATTTTATTTTCACAATTGCTATATTAGGTAGGCGGGAGAGGGACCGTGATCCCAATGAATCGGTGGGGAGGTTGAGGCCACAGGATGTATCCTTTGGTTATGGTCACTCAGTTAGCTAAGCAGTGGCAGATCTGAGGCTAAAGTCCAGGCACTCTCTTGGTGTGTTATATATGGATTTTTAACCCAGTTACGTAATGACGGCTTCGAAAAGTTCTCTGAGTTTTATATAGGTTGAATGAACCCACAGCTCATCAGCTTCAAAGGAATCATAAAAATTTAACGAAAAGGTATAATAATTACATGTATGGGTTTTAAATGGTATTTTAAGAAGGAATATAGTAATTGGCAGCTTCTGCTCCTCAGATCATTAAACAACTAATGTTGGCAGCTAACGAGCAATTTGGTCCCTGGTGCAGTCATGCGTATTATTTACAACCAGTAGAACATGGTAGTGCGCATGTGGGGCTTGGCTCTTAACAGCTTCACATGCTATTTACTTGAAATTATGGGCCCATTTGCTAAGAGGAAAAAAAAGAAAGGAAGATTGAACACAGTCTTGCTTCTGAGTGAGGGTTTTTGCCTTTCTTCATCAATATGTCTTTCCCAGGAATACAGGTGGATGAGTCTGTATTAAGCCCAAGGGAAGAAATGTATAATTTAGGCAGCAGAGATAGTCTCACTCCAATGTGAACAATCTCTCTTCAGACTCCAGGGAAAATTCGTAAGATGGTATACTCCCTATGGGGTGGGTTTCCCATTTTAGCTCTTTGGTCAGCTGAGAAAACTGGTGAAGTTTGATCTGCTGAAGGATGACCTGAATTAATCCTCCCGGTAACTAACCTTTTGACTTCACTATTTTCTGATTACTGTGTATGCTCTTTGGTGAACGGGCCTTTCAGAGTCAGTGGGCTGTCCCCACTAGTGATAAGGTGGTCAACATTTTTTTGCAACTCCTGCGTGTAATACTATTTCTGTTTCCTTCTATTTCAATATCTTCAGAATGAGCAAACCCTCACTCCATTAGGTAAGAGTCTTAACAGCCCTATTGAATGGAGAGGATCCTAAGGGAGGTCCTTAAGATTAGTAGGGGGTCTTTTGTCTGTCTTCAGGTGTCTATGATTTGCTCTCTTAAATTTATAGACCAGCTGATATGGTTTGGGTCTGTGTCTTCACCCAAATCTTATCTGAAATTGTAATCCCCATGTTCAAGGGAAGGACCTGGTGGGAGATGACTGGATCATGAGGGTGGATTCCCCTGTTCTGTTTGCATGATAGTGAGTGAGTTCTCATGAGAGCTGATGGTTTAACAAGTGTTTGGTAGTTCTTTCTGCATTCATTCTTCCTGCCACCTTGTGAAGAAGGTGCCTTGTTTTCCCCTTGCCTTCCATCATGATTGTAAGTTTCCTGAGGCCTCCCTAGCCATGTGGAACTGTGAGTCAACTAAACCTGTTTTGTTTATAAATTAGCCAATCTCGGTATCGTTATTGCAGTGTGAGAAAGGACTAATACATCCCTCCTGAATTTGATCTACGACCTGAGGCCGTTTCTCAATTTGAGAATTATTTGCCATTTACAGAGAGCAGGAATAAGAAATGAGTTTTCATTTTCAAACCTGGCCAGATCTACCTCCTTTACATTTAGCAGTTTATTCTTTAATTCATCTCCCTTATCTTGCATTTCACCACAGGCAGTGACAAGAAGTCAGTGGGCCTTTCTGTATTCTGCTTGGAAATCTCCTTGGATATCTAAGTACTACTATGAGGGACCCTTTTTTATATTGCCTCAGTTGATAACTAAGTGACTTTTTACCACTACAAGGATCTCTTTTTTTATAACTTCTGATATATTTTTCTTACTTTTTTTAGCCTTCACTGAGGCCGATGAGGCTTCCGCCTACTGCCAAGTCCCAAACCAATGCCTCATATTTTAGGGTTTTGTTACAACAGGACCCCATATGCAGATACCAAAATCTGTTTTCATTATCTACTGCTGCATAATAAACCACCTCAAGACGTAGTGACTTAAAATATTACCAGTTATTAATTTTGCCCTTGAAAATACAATTTGGGCAGGGCTTGGCAGGGACAGCTGGGGTGACTCAACTGGGGTGGGAGAATCCACATCCAAGATGGTGCATACATATGGTCTGGCTGTTGAGTGCTCTCTATGTGGGCCTCTCTATAGGCAGCGTGGCTTCCTTACAACATGGCTGCTAGGTTCCAAGAGCGAGTGTCCCAAGAGGAAGGAAATGGAAATTTCTTATTTCTTAAGGTCTGAATTTAGAAACTGGCATGCATCTCTATTAATGTGTAATAAGTGGCTCCCCAAACTTCATAGCTTGAAACAAAAAACCTTTATCTGTCATAGTCTCTGAGAGACAGGGGTCCAGAGTGACTTAGTTGGGTGGCTCTGACTCAGGGTCTCATAAGTTTGCTGTTAAGACACACTTTGGAGATGCAGTCATCTAAAGGCTTGGCTGGGGCTGAAAGACCTGCTTCCAAGCTCATGCATGTGTTGTTAACAGACGGCTTCAGTTCCTTGGCACATGGGCTGTGCCATAGGACCTCTCACAATATAGCAGCTGATTTCCTCAGAGCCAGTGATCTGAGGGAGTGAGAGCAAATAAGACAGAAGCCACAGTGCCTTGTTAGGACTTAGCCTCCAAAGTCACACAGCATCACTTCTGTTTAGTGACTAGGAGCAGGTTACTAAGTTCAGCTCACAGGCAAGGGGAAGGAAACAGGTTTTACCCCAAGGGAGGGGTATTAAAGAATTTGGTGGGCATATTTTTATAACTATTGCAGTGTTACTTCCATTGTGTTTTATTGGTCCAGGAATCCTGGTGCCCTGATTCAAGGGGAAGGGCCATTATGACAAGTCTCAATGAGTGGTGTGTCAAAGATTTCAGTGCCATGCTCTAAGAAGTGCCACAGCGCCTACTGAGATGGAAGGATTTTGAGAACTAAAGACCTGGACAGAGAACTTTTCAGTTAGCGGAAATGGCCTGTTCCATTTGTTTACTCAACAGAAAAATATCATTCAGCATCTACAAAGTGACAGGTCTAGTTCTAGGTACCGAGGATGCAGTAAAGAACAGAACAAGATCCTCCCTCCTTTTTTTTTTTCTTTTTGAGACAAGGTCTCACTCCACCCAGCCCGGAGTGCAGAGGCGACATCATAGCTCACTGCAGCCTTGAATTCCTGGGCTCAAGCTATCCCTCCACCTTAGCCTCTGGAGTCACTGGGATTATATGCATGAGCTCCCGGCTCAGTGTCTCTTCTTTTTTGAGAGCTGTGTTCTGCCATTGGCCACAGTGGCGTGGAACTAGATATGCCTGGGCTGAATGTGGAGGAAAATCACACTGTTTCTTCAGGAGGAAGAGTGGTCTAGATTGACCCAGGTTTAAGATCAGTATTGTGGTAGCTCTTCAGATTTGGTTAGGACCAGGATACACAGAGCTCTGAATTGTAAGCTAAGGATAAGAGCAATTGGGAGCCATTACAATGTTTTAGAGGAGTAGTAACATGACTAAAACTAGACTTTAGGAAGTGTAAGCTGGCCACATTGTACACAGAGGGACGGATGTGATAACAGCTCGGGACTGGGTGTCATGGAATTAACTAGGATTTTAGAAATGAAAAAAGGAAGAAAAGAAGGCTCGTATAGGAAATCTACTACAGATAGGTAATTATTGATTTTTAGAAGAACGCTGATACTAGTATATCCAACTGAGTGTGGTGTAATACACATTAAGAAAAGTAACTTAGAAAGCCCATCGTTTCTCTCCTTTTTCACTGACCTGTACACACCTTGACTGTGATTTAGTTGTCTCTTTTCTTTCCATTCTCTATTTCTGCTTCAATTTTCCTGTTCAGCAGAGAATAGTTTGGTTTAAAGCAGATAGCAAAAGTGGATTGATTCTGCTGTTACTGTCCTTTCTAGATGTATCAGTTGGTTCTTACACTGCTATAAAGAAATACCTGAGACTGGGTAATTTATAAAGAAAGGAGGTTTAATTGGCTCATGATTCTGCAGATTGTACAGGAAGCATGGTGGCATCTGTTTGGCTTCTGGAGAGGCTGCAGGAAACTTACAATCATGGCAGAAGGGGCAGGGGAGGTCAGCACTTCACATGGCCAGAGCAGGAAGAGGGGTGCCACACACTTTTCAATAACCAGAACTTGTGATGACTCACTATCACAACAACAGCACCAGGAGGGATGGTGTTACATCATTAGTAAGAAACCACCCTCATGATCCAATCACCTTCTACCAGACCCCACCTCCAGCACTGAGGATTACATTTCAACATAAGATTTGATGGGGACACAGATCCAAACCATATCACTAGAGAAGGAAGGTACAGCCCTGAACTCTATGCATACTGAAGAAGACACTCACTAGGGCAGGCAGAGTTCTCAATTTTTGAGTATAGGGGCCATACAGTG